AAAATGTCTCTTTGCCTCTTTTTTCCTTGGCTTGAAGCTCTACTAATTAACATAAGGCTGACATCTCAGGCAGAGTGGGCTTTGTATCTCAAGGACATGGTAAGAGTTAACTTTAGAATTTTTCCTAGGCATATTTTTGCTTCTCTCAAGACTGGAGCTCCAAAAAGAAACATGTTTCAACAAACCAGTTTTGTCTAATTGCATGTGCAAGAAGAACAAATCTTAAAAATTTAAAAAAGATTTCATTTTAACCAGTTTTATCCAGAATCTAAAGAATATCATGGCCATCTTGTGTCGAAAATGTCATCCTCCTTTTTGTAGTCATAACTTCAGAGCTAAAATATAGACCAAACAGTGCTCAAATTGGTTCTGATGACAGGAGCAAACTGACTGATAAAATATCATCCTAGTAGGGATTGTTCCTTCAGGGAGATGGGGTCTTTGTTCAGTCAGAAGAATCTGAAGGAGTAAGGGAACCTGAAGGAATGGGGGAAATTTCTTCCCTCCCCCCTGCCACCTCCTGCAAGAGATAGTAGAAGTTAGAGGGGGATTCTTTACAATTTTTTGGAGTTTTTTTTGTTTTTTCCTTTTCAGGTTTATGATTATGGGAGAAAGTCATGGTCTAGGACATCTAATGGAGGGAGAGCCATAGGAGGACAGGGGATAAGGTGACAACAGAAAGGTACATGTAGCATGAGCCCCTTAGATCCAAATTCTGACTGAGTGCCATAGGGAACAGCAAAAGAGATCATGTAATTTACTGTGCCATTAAGAGGCCATTTTTCTTGGTTCCCCAATATGTAGGTTGGCATTAGGTAATTGGGTAGGGCAGTATAGGGTGAGCACTAGGGTACGCATTTTTGGCTAATATGGGTCAGGAATCCTGATGGTGATGATCGGGGTGGGGGGGGTCTTTGGCAACATTACAAAGGGGCTCAGTTAGCCTCTGAGGTGACCTGTTGCTTCTCACACCTGTGGCCTGGGGACAGAACTCAGCAAGTATTGTTGACTGACAGACACTAAAAAGGAAGGGGACATACTTTAGTTCACATGGCCCAAGGATCCACACTGACAAACTCTACAAGATGAAGCTTTCATATATCTATCCTCTTGTTGACTTAAAAAATATTCAACCTAAAAATTGAGTGTTATGTTTTATCTGGTGGAGAATTTTAGCACTTCAGCCCACGAGACAGCATCTCAAGTGACCCTGAGAGAACTGCTCCTGGAATCAAAGTCTTAAATTTTCCCACCGAATAAAACATACCTGTTGACTTTTAGGTTATGAATATTTTTTATGTTGACAGTCATAGTGACTGCAAAGAAGGAACCCTGACCAAATTCTTCTTCTCCACCTGAACCCAGTGAGTATCCAGAGCCTTGGTACCATCAGAGGCCCCTTGTGCCCATTCACTTTCCTGAGGAGTCCAGACAAATTTGAATGAGTGCCTCCTGGTTCTAGGATCTCCTGTTTATTGGTTGATGATCCTAAGTTTTATTCGGTGGGAGAAGAGGTTATCCTTGAAACTTGGTTTCAAGAAGAGGTACCTGGGTTGCTCAGTCTAGACATTGAGTGGGTTATCCTCAGTCAAAAGACTGGGGAGATTTTACTCAGTTTAGGTGCTTAGTGGGTTATCTTTGATGTAAAATGCACTGAGAAGATTTTGTTTGGGAAGGTTATCCTCAATGTAAAAGGTACTGGAAAGACTCAATTTTGATACTGAGTGGTTGGCTATCCTCAGTTAGAGACTGGAGGAAGACTTAGTTTAAACACTGAGTAAAGTGGGATGGAGTTATTAGGGGGAAGATGGACCTGTCATTTTTCCTTTTATTGGCTACCTTAATAGAGTTTTTTGAAATAAACTGAAATCTTATGAGAGCTTCTGAGCTCCGAAGAAGGGACTCTCTCCTCCTGGCTGGCAATGGCTTTCTCAGGGAACTGAGAAACCCGCAGAAGTGGCAGCGGAGAGACCTCATACAGCCCAGCCTATCCCCACGGGGAAATGCAGCCATGTAATTAACAAACTGCTCAACCAAGTACGCACATAAGAACTGGCCATTCTGTGACCTGAGCGCCTGTGGAAGTCTTACACTCCAATGGGAGACTGGAGACATGTAAGATGGGGCTGAAACAACTCTGGGGCAAAATCAGAGAAGTTACACTCCCAAGCAGCACATGCTGGCCCAGCACACAATCATTACTGGCAATTTTATCTCAACAAACTGACTTCAATATGGAAAATAAAGGTTTCAAAATAAAAGAAAAGGAACAACAGATTGCCAGCCTCCAGCTAACACCCCAGCTGGGTAAATGTACATGCAAAAATTGTAAGTATTTACTTAAGTAGAAATTGAAGGAAATCTCACCCTAAAAATTGAGGAGGCTCTTTCATTGCTTACACAGTTAAGTTACATTAAGGTTAAAAGCTAGCTTAGTAAAAATATCTTTTTAGACTTTAAACAAAGGCTTTCAAGGGAAACTTAGTTTTTGAGATATAAATGTTCTACCTGTTCTTCCTAAGACATTCTGTGCTGCTGTGCTTTGTTTGCTCATGTTTTTAAAAACTTGACCTGTTAGGTAGTTGGAATAGGAAAAAGGAATCCAAAATGGTGGTGGCTAAAAGATAAAGAAGGGAAAAATCCCACAAAAAATGGAACAAAAGAAAATCTGAGGACAGGCGTGAGAACCTCAGGTGAAACAAACAGCCCTCCTGGCTAGCCCAACTTACATGGGGCAAGCTCAGGGGGAGGAGAAAAAACATAAAAAGAGGAGCCAAAATTGAGCCTCTCTTCTTTGGGGTCTGCCTGCCCTCATGCCTCAAGGTTGCATTTTCCCTTGCTTGCCAAATAAAACTGAGCTTTAACTGAGCTGTAGCACTGGCCCACTATTTCAAATCTTTGCTGTGGTGAGATGGAACCGAAGAAATTACACACTCCCCCGACATGGCCTTTGCTATTTTTGTGTTTTTTCTGGTGGCTCAGACAGTAAAGAATCTGCCTGCAATGCAGGAGACCAGGTTCAGTCCCTGGGTGGGAAAGGTCCCCTGGAGAAAGAAATGGCTACCTCCTCCAGTATTCTTGCCTGGGGAATTCCATGGACAGAGAAGCCTGGTGGGCTACAGTCCATGGAATTGCAAAGAACTGGACATGACTGATTAAGAAACACAATACAGTACTGTTTTTGAGAGTAAATTCTCCAAATTTGGGCTTCCCTGATAGCTCAGTTGCTAAAGAATCCACCTGCAATGCAGGAGACCCCATTCAATTCCTTGTTGGGAAGATCCCCTGGAAAAGGGATAAGCTATTCACTCCAGTATTCTTGGGCTTCCCTTGTGGCTCAGCTGATAAAGAATCTGCCTGCAGTGCAGGAGAGCTGGGTTCAATCCCTAGGTTGGGAAGATCCCCTGGAGAAGTGAAAGGCTACCCACTCCAGTGTTCTGGCCTCTAGAATTCCATGGACTGTATAGTCCATAGGGTTTCAAAGAGTCGGACACAACTGAGCAACTTTTACTTTCTCCAAATTTAGGTTACATCATTCCCCACTCTCTAATGGGGAAGGCTCTTGCATATTTATGATTTGAATCACTATTAATATACCAGCTGAGCCACAAGGGAACCCCAAATAAGGAAAGAAGTAGGGGAACTAGACAACAAGTGAAATTGAAAGTCAGTGAGTCATGTCCAACTCTTTGTGACCCCATGGACCCATGGAATTCTTCAGGCCAGAATGCTGGAGTGGATAGCCTTTCCCTTCTCCAGGGGATTGTTCCAATCCAGGGATCGAACCCAGGTCTCCTGCATTGCAGGCAGATTCACAGATTTGGGCTTTCCTACTACCCCAGTTTGTAAGGAATCTTCCTGCAATGCAGGAGACCTCAGTAGGTTTCCTGGATCAGGAAGATCCCCTGGAGAATGAACTGGCAACCCACTCCAGTATTCTGGCCTGGAGAATCACACGGACAGAGGAGCCTGCTTGGCTACAGTCCATGGGGTTGCGAGAGCTGGACATGACTGAGCAACTAAACCACCACCATTGATTTACATTTTATAGATACAATGAAACTTCAAAATAAATGTTACTGAGATAAAAGCTTTGAGGTAAACTCTTCTATTTTAGAGAAATCTATTTAAAATAATCTTTCCAGATAACTTAAAATTCTAAAGTTGGGCTAATTTAGGTTAAATGATAAAAGTTTATTGAATAACTAGATAATTTCACTAATGATATACTGAGATATAAATTACTAAATAGAAAAACTAAAAGTATTTAGAAATATTAATGAAAATGCTTGATGTCACCCCAAAATGTTTTCTATAAGAAAACAAGTGCTTTTAGAAATTATCACTGCTGTTTATGCTCACCAATCTATAGAATGCCAATGTAAAAAGCAGTTCATAATTACTTACTTCTTACCTTTTACCAAGAGTAAACTCCGGGAGTTAATGATGGACAGGGAGGCCTGGCATACTGCAATTCATGGGGTCACAGAGTCAGACACGACTGAGTAACTGAACTGAAGATTTTAAGAGTTGAAGTTTCTAATTTAAATATGTAGTTAAAGCTATTAGAAATAATACAGTAACATTTTAGCATACAGTAGGAAATAAAATGTGTGTTTTCAGTAAAGAAGGTATGAGGAATAAAACTGCATTTTATTGAGAAAAAAGAAGGAATGAGCTTGTTGAACTTATTTGGATAAAAAATGAGACTAGGTACAGAATGTGATGAGAGACTATGAAAAGGAACCCTGAGGAGGAAAAAGTTTTATGCATAGTCAAGGTTCACTAAATTTAGACTGACATTAACTAAATGGATTTGGCTAAGTAAGCTAATATGAAACTGGAATTTGATTTCTCTTTTACTTTGATTAAGTTCTCTTTTACTTTGGTTAAGTTTCTCTTTTACTTTGGTTAAGTTTCAGTGACCTATGATCCTGTTGTGTTTTAAATCTTTGTTAATTTTTCTAACAAACTTCTCAAATATCAAAATCTAATTAAAGTTCTTTTAGCTTCCTGCTGTCTTTGGGATGCTTTGAAGAAAAACCTCTGAGACATCGCAGAGAGGAATGTTAAACCAAGTTTATTTGGCATTCAGATTTGGCGAGTGATTGAAGGTGAACTTTACCTTGCTTCATTTAATTAACAATAATCTTCTGATGTTCAATCTATCTATCCTTTGTTGCAAAATTTTAATTGGTTCCTCCTCTCACTTCTTCAGAGCAATTCTCTCAGAGTCACTTGAGATGCTGTCTGCTGGGATTCAAGTCCTAAAAATTCCCACTGAATAACACATAACTCTCAACTTTTAGTTTGTGATTATTTTTTAAGTCAATACTCTTCTCTGCAGACAGTAGCAGGGTTCAGAGGGCAGCACCAAAATTAATTGGGGTTAGGTTACTACAAGTCTAAACAGATTGGAAACAGAGTCAAAATATTGAAAATAAAGTTTTGTTGATTTCTTTCATGGGTCTATCATCTAACAGTATTATCTTGTTGCTGTAACTGAGGGGGAGAGGGCTTAATTATTTGTAGGGACAAACTGCTTCAACCTCAAAACTATTTGTGAAGTGGGTTTCTGCTCATAGAACAGAAGTTCTTGCTTAAGCCAATTTCCACCATCACACTTCAAAAAGTATCCTAGTAAATGAGCATTCTATCCCCATGTCAGAAGCATTTGTTGGATCTGGAGTAGCAAAAAGTTTTTATTTTGTAGGTCAAATGATGGTTTTGTAATAGGTATCTGAATGCTGCCCTGGGGAAGACCTTGAGGCCAGATCCCTGTGTAGTAGGGAGAGTGCTGTGATATTAGCCTCCTCTGTCTGAGTGTGATGGTGCATATTTGTCAATATTCTTATAATACCAAGTGACAGAAATGCAATCTCAGACAGGAAAAATTGTTGATCCATAGAATTCAGGACAGGATATTAACAAGAGCCTCAGGAGCAATAGTTATGAACCAGAGACTTGCATGCCTCTAAGATTCTCTCTACCCCTTGTTTCCATGTCTCTGAAAATTTCCAAGTTTTCCTGTCTTATGCAGAGCAGTTATCTCCACTTTATAGGAATTATAGCCACTGACAGTTTCCAAAGTGTATATTTCATGGCTTCCACTAAGGCTTTGGTAACACACACACACACACACACAGAGTTTTGAAGAAGGATTATGATTAGCCCAGTTTTTGTTTTTATATATATATATGTGTGTGTGTGTGTGTGTGTGTGTGTGTGTGTGTGTATAATGGGAAATGATCGACCAATCAAATTTGGATGTGGTGGGATCATCTAAAACTATGACAGTTTTCATAAGAACCACATACTTGGATTCAATAGGAAGAGATATTTCCAGAGCAAGGAGAGCATGACATACAGGACTTTGAAAATACTGTTTCTACCAAAAACGGGTGGCCACGTGGCCTCCATCCCTGGGGGTTAAAAGAAAAGGAGAAGACCCTTAGGAATATAAGACTACCTCATCTAGTAGCTATAGCCCCTCCTCATAATTTTTGCCTTGTGATTCTTCACTTGGGAAAAGAAATTCCCAGCTAAGTCAGTTTAGCTGTGCCTTCAAATTTCAGTGAGCTGTTAGTTGTGTCTTCCAAATTCCAGTGGACAGAAACAAAGCTATTACTCTAGTAATTAGCCAGCAATGTGCCTTCATTTTGTGGAAGGAATTTCTGCTCCAATGACCAACATATTAGTCATCTCTTCTCAAGGCAGGTAGTGACCTGAGAATTCTGTCTGTTTCCTGAGGACTGCTCCACTATGCAAAGGCTGATGAAGTTTCGGGTCCTCTGGGGCATCCACATGTCCTGCCCTGGCTTCCACCATGTCCCTCAGCACCTGCGCTGCCAATCTTTATCAGGAGCTGGAGCCCTAAGATTGAATGACTACGACAGACCTGAGGCATTTAACTTTGCAAGTGATGTACTGGACCACTGGACTCAAATGGAGAAGGTAAGGAGGCCTCTGTGTTGGGTGCAAAAACAAGATTCACCTCCTTCTCCCAAAGGAAGAGGGGCACAGAACTAAAAGGGCTTTTGACTAAGCTTACAATTTTCATGGGAAAAGCTTATGTTTTGGGGTTAAGTTCTCAGCCTGGACACTTCCTCTATTCTCTAAGCCCTAGTGGCTTTATCTGTGATATGGGGATAATCTCATTTAAGAAACAAGATAGTAGGTGAAAGTATCTGGTACTTAGTCAGGTAATCATCACCAAGTGTCAAATTCTAATCACAGGTCAGCAAGTTGATGTTGGTCTGAATTCTCATCTTCAACTAATGAGACTGTGAGTCTAACTAGAATTCATCTCATAAAATGTCGGGTTGACTTTAGGTTACACCCAGAGGGAGGGTGTAACCTTGATTGTGCACATGAACATCTGACACATGTAACTAAATCATGTCATCTATCTTCCTATGAGGATGGCAGGTACAGCTGGAGTCCTCCCTATCAACTATCTACTTAAACGTGGCTTTAGGGTATATCCAGAGAAACCCACCCCAGTGGTCTCTGCAAAAAAATGCATTCTTGGTTTCTCTTTTCCCAAGAGAGGCATAGTGGTGACACTAGGAGTTGGGTAGACAACGGGGGGTGTTTCAGCTACAAAGTTCCAGCTGGCATTTTCCACATTGTGAAAGCCCACTCAACACTGTATTTGTTCAGAAGAAAGAATTCACCTGATATGGAGTCAAGGAGTTGATGTATTTTTAATTTACCATGAGCATACATTCATACTGAAAGCTTAAGGCTGCAAAGGTTAAGGCTACTGTGAGTGATGCCAGGATTTGTGATCTCCAGAGGAGAGGATTTTGATCTGGGGCTGGAGATGAGGCTTGATTACTCAGAACTTTCTGTATAGCAAAGTTTTATTAAAGTATAAAAGAGATAGAGAAAGCTTCTGGCATCGACATCAGAAGGGGGCAGAAAAGATACCCCCTTGTTGGTTTTTAGCAAGGCATTATATATCTGTTAGCAAGCTGCTAATCTGATAAAAGAAATGCTCAAGACTGAGAGAGTTATGGTTACTGAGAGAGTTACTGAGAGAGTTAAGGCCCCTCTCCCACAACACGCATTTTGAGATAAAATGGCAAAAGGGGAGTGATCTCCAGCCATAAAACAATTGACATGAATCTTGAAGAAAGGCAGATTTCCAAGCAAATACTTAGTTTCATTAACATAGCTTAAGCAAACTGTTTCCATAAGAAAAAGGCACTTGTTTGCTGAGCCATTAGCAGCTCAAGGTTACCTTCAGACAGAACCAAGTGTCCTCATGACAACACAGGATTAGAAGAGAAAAAAAGTCTGCCATTTGCAGTTTATTTCCTCCTGTTGCTTGGAGAGCTCTGGCCTTCCTACCTGACTGTTAACCCTCTCAATATGTTAGTATTCAGAACTTATATACCTTTTACGGGGACTTTTATCCTACCTCCATCTTTTTCCTTTTTCTGAATTTCCAAAAAACTCCAAGGAAAATAGAGCCCTCACTTTTGGAGAGCCCTTTTTGTTTATGTGCCTTGCCAAGCACTTTGTGCTTATTATTCTGATAAGATGGACACTTTAATCATCCCCATTTTTGATAAGGAAACTGAAGTTACAATCGTTCAAAAATCTACAGAATTTGCTTATCTAATAAGTGGAGTAGCAGGATTTGGGTTCAGGCTGTCTGATTCTATAAGTTAATCTTTAACCTGGCCTCGTGAGATGATGATGTCAAAACGTCTCTGCTTTCAGACTACAAACTGACTTTCATCACTGCCCAGATCAAAAATCTGGTTAAGATCTTTTGAATCACAAGATGGGCTGGAAATGTCATAGTTTTTATTCTGCATTTATCTTCATAAGTTCCTTGTTAGTTCACACATCAACCCATGGAGTTTATCACCATATAAATATTTGCCCAGGGAATGCCACATCTTTGTTGGGTTTTATATTGTCAACTAAAAAAATACACACACCTAAAAGTTTTAGGTTTTATTTGGTGGGAATTTTAGGACTCGAGTCCAGGAGACAGTATTTCAGGTGACACTGAAAGAGCTTACTTCAAGCAGGCAGGGGAAGAGCCAGGCTCTATACAAGACATATGCATACATCTGAATAAATTTGCATAAGTTTGAATATGAAAAAAATTAATGTTAATTAAGAAAAAACTAAGTCTCTCACATAAAGAGATTTAGCAATCTTCAATGTGTCCAGGCTGGCTGAAATCACTTCTTTCATACGCATCTAACTCTCTGGGGCCAATCCTGTTTTCTTTATTGTTAACATACAAATTTCTTGTTTACCACAAGAGATGGTGAACGTGGCAGATGGCTGCCTCTCACATCCCCAGCTCCTCGGCACTTACCAAGAAGGAAGTATCTGATGGCTTCCAAATAGATGGCTTTGTTTCACTGTGGCTCAAAATTTGCATTTGAAAAAGGCTTGTTTACTAGAAGACCACAGAGAAAGAAATATTTCATTTTACAGTCCCTCCCTGTGGTCAGAAGTTAAACCTTATTGGGAGACATTTCATGACCATTGTTTCTTTTTGTCCCATGGTGCTTGGAGGCTCATCTCAGATCAGGTGAAAGTTCTTTATCGATATGTCACTGCAGGTGTTAATTTCCAGAGTAGGCCCATTGATGGATAATAAATTGATCTGGATCTTCTATCTTCTAACCTAATAGGATCCAGGAGATATTTCCCTTGTTGCTTCTTCTCATACCTAAAATCATACTATTACAATTATTCTAAGTTATAAATGTGATCTATTTCTTCAAGATATTTATCTGTCTTTAATTTGTCCAGGGGCCTGGTTATACATCATGTAACACAAGAGACAACAATCTTATAAAATAAACAAATTACAAGCAATACAGCTAATAATGTTAAAGTTACCAGTAGAGACTTAAGCCATGAGCTTCCAGAACTGAAAGGTTGCTGCTGAGCCATAAAAGACACCGGGTTTCTTGGCCTCCAAAGGAGAGTAATTCAATCCGGGGCCAGTGACGAGGCTTGATTGCTCAGAGCTTTTGTGTAATACAGTTTTATTAAAATATAAGAGATAGAGAAAGCTTCTGGCATAGACATCAGAAGGGGGCAGAAAGGGTGCCCCCCTGATAGTCTTTAGCCAGATGTTATATAGCTACTAGCAGTCTGCTAAGTAGAGAAAGGAAATGTCTCGAAACTCAAAGACTGGCACCAGGCCCCTCACCCACAACATGCTTTTTGAGATAACATTGGCACAAGATGAGTTGTCCTGGGCCAAAAAATGATTGCCATGAATCTTGAAGAAAGGCAGTTTTCTAAGCAAAGACATAGTCTCATTAACATAGCTTAAGAGATTATTTGCATGAGTAAAACATTTGTTTGAGTCTTAGGTGGAACCAACTTGAAGAAAGACAGAGTATAGGGTAAACACATAGTTCATTAACATAGCTTAAGAAAAACATTTCCATAAGAAAAACATATTGGTTAGCTAAAGGTTTGAGAAAACTTTTAGGTTAACTTTGAGAAAAGTTAAGTTCAGGTGGAACCAGGTGTCATCAAGGCAACACAGAATTTTAAAAGAAACCCCCTTTTAAATTTGTATAGAGAAAGGGAAAAAATCTGACACTTGTAGTTTGTTTCCTCCTGCCGCTTAAAAGAGAGATAAAAAAAGATCTGACACTTGCAGCCTATTTCTTCTATTTGGGACCTCTAGACTTCCTGCCTGTTACCCTCTCTGAACCAAATCATCTTTCTAGAAGATCACCAAATCTAGGAAGTGGATCATCTAAGGAAGAAATCTGATTTTTCATATGAGTTGTTAAATGCATAACATTAGATGATTGTTGTATATAAACACAACATTTAGTTTGAATTATAGCACAGTTGCCCCCTTGAGATGCTGTAAGGATATCATGGGCCATATGATTTTGCAATTCAGCTTTTCATATCATAGAGACCTCAGAATTCGCCTGGTTGCTATCATTTAAGGCCTTTTGAGTGAATTTTGTCAAAGATTTAATGTGAGAAATAATATTTTCCAATCTTATTGAAGGTCCCAAGATAGCTGCTAAGTTATCATATCAGTGAAGTACAGACCTCTTGATCCATCAGGCTCGTATTGATGGTAAATTTGCTGGAGTCAGATCTAAGTTTGTTTGTACAAAAGTAGCCTTGAGCCCAAGGGAATCCTAAAGTTCACTTTCCTATCCATCTCAGCAGAAGCCAAGGCCATAGACTGGACCCACAAAGCCATGGAGTCCCATTAGGTGCCAGCCAGTATATTTCTGGTCATCTGTTCCAATACAATCTGTTCCAATCTGTTCCATACTAACCACTGTCTTTATGAAAAATGGTATATTGGCAGTTTTCATAAGACACTTAGCCTAATTTTTTAGTGTTATTAGGTTGATTATCTTTGATGTAATTTAATTGTTCCCAGCATGGTGGGGGTGGGGGGTGGGGGGCTTAGGCTTAGATGACCATAGCCTGGTATTAGCTAGATAAATCCACCCCATAACTGAGGAAACATTCTTCCTAATAGTCTGGAGTTTGCTTTTTTTTTTTTAATAGGAATTTAGCCTGTTGTTTCATTAGAGTAAACTTAAGGGAAAAATTCATATTTATGGCCAAGTTTAGAATAAATATATTTGATTGACCAGGTAGGTGGGTCCCATTTAGTGACATCAGTACTAGCCCAGACTGAACTATAATTCCTTTCTTCTAAAATATATAAACTTTCTAAGAGCCATTAAGCCAGAGCCTTGGAGGGTAGAAACCCACAAAGGTAAACTAGAGGTACTGCTGCTGCTGCTGCTAAGTCACTTCAGTCATGTCTGACTCTGTGCGACCCCATAGACGGTAGCCCATCAGACTCCTCCGTCCATGGGAGTTTCCAGGCAAGAGTACTGGAGTGGGTTGCCATTTCCTTCTCCAACCAGAGGTACTGGATGCAGGTAATTGACCACAAACCCAACAATTTGACTGAT